TCATTTTTTAAGGTAACATTTTACTCTTCTTCAGTTATACTTTTTTTCTGCTACTTGCAAACTGCGGTGGCAATTCTGTTTTTTTTTAAAAATACCTCCATAAGGTCACATTTCAGAGAAAAATTTGGACGACATGGAAATGATGAATGAAGAATCGATGGAAAAATAATTCCTTTCTTATCTTTCTGGCCTATTTAAAAGAATTCATCTTTTTAGGTGGTTCCCATTTTAAAAGTACCCCAGAATTAATTAAAAATAAGACTGGAATGATAAGATTCAATGTAGTTCAATTACTTTTTCACAATGAACCTGACTGATGGATGGACTAACCAAGGAACAAACGATGGAAGGAAGGAAGGAACAAACCACCCAACTGACCAATCAACTTAGGAAGGATGTTCGGAAGGGACAGAAAAACAGAAAGAATAAAAGGCGGAAATGGGGAACAAAGGAAGGTCGTGGTTGAAGGGAGGAAGAAGAGCAGGAGTTATATCAGCGTTGTCACAGTCAACCTCATATTAAGTCAGAGTCAACATGTTTGTTTAAAAAGGAAGTGACGCATGTGACGATTCCCAACATGGCAGTGTAGCGCCATCTCCTGTGAGGAGTACTAACTGACATCAGTATCGACCCAAAAACAGATACTTGGTATCAATACTTGATCATCCCTAATATTTGCCATCAAATTATACTCTTCTGATCATTTTTAGCATCTTTATTTCTGCTGTTCTTTTTAACCTACAGTAGCTACAGTCGCTCTCCACTCACCTTATAAACTCCACCGTCTTTCCCGGCAGCTGCAGAAAGGCATTCGCTCCTGGGATATAAATACCTCCCCCTGCAAAAAAGAGTTCACTAATCTACCTCTTTGCAAGCTTCACAGTCTTCATACAATGCAATCATGGAGCAGCTGCATATCCTGAATAGATTTAATAGTCTAAATGTACGAGTGAGAGTGGATGTAACTCCAGCCCTGATGAGACTTTGTAACAGATATTGTTTACTGCTCGTCCTGAGACGCTGCAGAGATGTGATTTAATGTGATTCAATGTGATTCGATGTGATTCGATTGTATAGTATGTTTGAAAGTTTATCTTATGGTGAGTCATTTCCTTATAGCCATGTCATGTGTCCAGGCAGGTCAGGGAACTTTTTTGAAATGATAAAACTATATATGAAACTGAACTAGTGTTTCCCAAACTTTTCCAACTTTTTGTAGCTGGGACCATTGTTGAGTCTCCCCCACGTGGACACATTCACCACTGAACCACTGAACTAAACAACAATAATAACATTAATAACCTTAAATCCACTCAAACCTTTACCTGCCATACAGTAGCTTCAGGTTTAATTCCATCTCCTCCTCCGGCTTTTGACCCCAGTGAGTCAGGAAGGGCATTTGGCATAAAAGTAGGAACTCGTCATGTCTTTTACCTGTACTGATACAGAAACCTGTGGTGTTTACAGATACCTATACCATGTTTGACCCGTAACAAAGACATAAAATGGCCCACAACGTAACAACAAACTAAGATGAGATAAAAATGGAAAGAAGAAATGCAGGAGACAGAAGGGAGAAGAAAAAAAAGGAGAAAAGATGGAAAAAGTAGAGTAAATACAGAAAGAATTAAAAGAAAGGAAGGAAAATGAATAAAAGAACAATAGGTCAGAAGAAGGAAGAAAAGAATAAAAACATATGAGGATTAAATTGAAGAAAAAAAAAGGAAAGAGAAAGGAGAAGGTAAGGAGAGCAAGAACAATATGGGAAAAAAATGACGAGGATGAAGACAGAGAGAAAGAACGAGAAAAGGAAAGAAGCCAAAGACAAAAGAAGAGATGAAAACTTTCAAACAGAAATCTTATAAGTCGTCATCTCCTACGACTTGTTTGGTCAGTGACTTTTTAATGAGACTTGCATTCTATAATGTATTCACATCTTTCACATAAGCCGTTACCAGATGATGTTGTAAGGACGAGAGTTGAATGTTCTTTAATGGATATATATATATATATATATATAATTTATTTTCTTTCATTTTCAGAGGCTTTGAAAAGATATGAGGTGATTGGCGTGTCGCTTTTTTGTGTCACAAAAACAGAAGGTCCTTGGTATCTGAAAAGATGCAGCACATTTATCCAAAGCTGCTTATCTTTGTCCTTGATCGTGTTTGTATTGTACTCACAGCAGTATTCAGACTTCAGAGGTGACAAGGCTTCGACGCTCCCGTGTGGAGTTGGTTAACTTTAGAGATTTGGATAATGAAGTTGTGGTGCATCCTGGTCAAGAACATCAGACCACCGTTCCAGTTATTTACCTTTGTGTCCAGAATAGATTCATTAAAGCTAGCTTAGATCTAGCTGCAGTGTCAGGGTCAGGTCTGCAGAAGATGTGAAAATAAAAAACAAAAGCCCATGTTTCAGTGGAAACGTGGGGAACACATCTGTCATGGAGATGAGGCTCATTAGAGGTAAAGTGCTGCTTACTTCACGGTAACGTATGAGAACAGGGAGGAAGCTGATTTTTGCAAGCTGTTGAATTTCATGCACAATTTAGTCTCCCGTAAATGAAAATGGATGGTTGCAAAGTAGCATAAAGGGAACATTTTTTCAGATTTGCCCGCTGCCTTGTCAAGAGTGCACCTGTAGAAGTTGAAGGAGTTATGAACGCTGAAGTGGTGCATAAAAAAACAGGCCCATCTATTATCATAATTCACACTCAGCCTTTTGCATTTCTCTGGACTGACTGGCTGTTGATTAAGTGCAGATTTAATTACTGTCGAGGTTCTGTGTCGGCATTTTCTGGTCTTGGCTTCTGCCTAAGCTGGAGGCGCACTGCACAACATTCACCGTTGAGTTCATGTTTGGACTGGATCACGTATATTGGGAAGTTTATTTTGAATATGGTCATGAAAAGGAAGGAATATTACAGAAAAACCAAAATAGGATTTATTTATCAAAATTGTATAAACAAAAGACAAATATGTTTGTACATGTTCTGTGTATAAATCTGTATATTCATATGTAAAATACATAAATGTTATATATACAGTATACATATATAAATGTATAATATATACGATAGATAGACAGATAGATGGATGGATGGATAGAACTTTGGAACTTAGTGTCCGTCCTCCTCCGCATAATTTGGTATGTTTTCACAAACCCTAATGTACGACCATTAGCAATTACGGTGTGTGTGTTGTACGTCCATAAAAGGAACAGCGATGAGGAGACAAAGACAGAACGACAACATAATGACTGGACCAGGGAGAGAAGTGTCCATCCACACACTGTGCTGTAATCTATGGTCGCATGAACAACTATTGTCTTCCTGAGCAGGAACATTATGACAACCTCCGACAATTGATATTGTTCTGCAAATTGACTCTGCACTCAGCACCGCCCCCTAGTGGATGCATTAAAACAGGTGCACCTATTAAAAAATTGCCCTTTTCTTTTGGTTTCAGGAGAGGAAAATTCTCCGGGTTGGTTGTTTGGAGAGGATGAGGGGAAACTGACGGCTCCACTCTGGTGTCCACTCCTCTCCTGTCACATTCCTATTTTCACCCAAAAGTCACCTGAGAGGAGGGTAAGTACCTGGAGATTCAACCAGAATTTTATATGTACATAAAAATAAACTAAACTAAAAAATGAACTAAATTTAAATATGTTCCCTCTAATCTAAATTCAATAATCTCACTATGTACCGGTGCCAAAGTCTGAAAATAGAATTCAAATCCCTCCCCCTTAAATCTCTCTCTCTCTCTGTCTCTCCCTCCCTCTCTTCAACCTCTCTTTTCTTTTTAGTGTCTTTGTCTCTCTCTCTCAGTCTCTCTCGTCTTTAGTCTCTGCAGCACTGTTATTAGAACATGTGACTTTCCAACCTACTCTTTCGATAACTATACCGTTACACACCTCTGAACTGCTGAATGTTGTGGCTTTGTTAGCGCTCCGATCTCCCCTCGAACTATTTGTGTGCATTTGTTAGTCCCTCCGCACTCCTGCCGACGGGGTTTACTATACAGCACTGTTACTGTTGCACTGCCATCAACCCTGACAACAACGAAACATCGTAGCCTACGTGCAGATCAGGAATGACCCTGAATGTGAACGTCAAGATAATGCAAGATGATGCCGTGTGAGACTGAGGCTGAAGGTTTATGTCACCAAACTGTCTTCATTGTGTTCAATGTGAATGATTTTCATTTACATTTAAATAAGAAAGATTAGATAAAAAGCAGAAATCTCACCTGAAGTGGAGTCAACAAGAAGTGACAAAACAACATCAACAAAACAATAACTGATCTGTACACAAGTTCAAAAAATGGCAGTTTTCTCCCATATGTGACTGAGTCTAAGGCAGTACTAATATGATATACAAAGTTATTATCAATGCAAAACACAATTTATCATAAAGGCAGTGTTAGATTTCTTGTTTTTATTTCTGTCTTCTATCTTTCCATCTATCCATTCTCTCCCCATTTGTCCATCCATCCATCTGTTCATACATCCATCCATCCATCCATCTATTTGTCCACCAGTCCTTTCATCCACCCCTGTATTCATCCATCTATCTATCATTCATTTTTATATTTACTCCTCTATAATAACAATAAACACAAACAGCACCAATAATTATACCTGCGTAAACAATATGAAACAGCTTGAAGTCCAATGTCATTTTACTTTATATAACTCTGATTTTAACAATGGAGATAGTGCGACCTTTAAAAGAATTTATCACCTAAATGATCAAAGCCTTCCTTTGATGTCTTGATCCCGAGTTGAAGTCATTTAAGTGCCATTATTTACTCGTGCTGATGTTAAGAATCTCCAGCCACATGGCTCCAACAACACACTGTGACTTTGGCTAACTTCTCCTGAGCCCTGGGATCTGTCAAGTCGTGCTTCATTTTATTAAGTGTTCAGTGGACAGAGAGCTCACCGGGACAATTAACGACGCAGTTTCCCATTAAATGTAATCAAAGTGCATTGTCCTAACAGCTACAATGCATTATGTGGGGAATGATCTCAGTCAGACACTCAGACTGTTGGAATTACCTGGTGACACAGGAGCCTCCCTCCGCAAGATATCGCCCGAAGGATCTGGATCGATCCGAACGGTTAAATTCTAGGAGTCTCCAATAGATCAAATGGTCAGGACAGGTGAGAGGAAGACTAAAAGGGTTGAAGAGTCAATGGCAATGGTTCGGAATCAATTCGTAGAAGCGGAAAGATTATATTTCTAACCACATTTTATATCTCCGTAATGTGGTTACCGGTCTTTCTGTCCAAGGAGGGGCAGGAGGGAGCCAAATTACCACGGCCACCAGGGGAGGATTTTATAAAGTGATCATACAATTACCTTAATGGCTGTGGGACATCCGAGCATAAATCAATGGTCCGACATTAGATTAAGACCTATATGCCAGCCCGTAATCTGCCTGCCCTGTGGATGAATCAGGAAAGTGAGCTGAAACCACGGCCTAAAGATAGGAACGAAATTCAGCTTTGCCACAGCAGGGGGGAATTTCCCAAAAGATTTTGTGCTGATGTTCCGGAGTTTTCTGCAAAAGTGTGTTACACCTGGCTGGAAGCAGGAGCCAAGTCAATTAATACATTCGGAGCCGGTGGGACTCCACAGTCTCTGAGGGCTTTTCTCTTGTTCCTCACATCTCGCACAAACAAACCAGGCACCTGAGCAAACCAGCGTCACCGTGTCAATCAGAAACGGTGTTTGCCTTCAGAATTGTTTCTGCTGGTTTTAATATCTCACAACTTTTGGCCAACGGCGCTGCAATTTGTTTTGGCAGAACACAGAGAGTGATTCATCTACACTTAGAAGGATTGTTGGTGTAGGTGTCACAGAACCGCGGAGGTAAACAGTGGTCTCTGTTTACGTTTTCGACTAAAGAGGAGGAAGCATTAAATGGAGTGACTTTAAGCCTTTCATGCAGAACAAACTGTGATGAGGGGCTTAAGTCAAAGGAAGCTCCTCTTCTACTCTCTCTCCATCTTTACTTCAGCCACTGCCTTTGGAACACACAAACACACACACACAAACACACACACATGCCTTTCAGTGCCAAACCTCCCGAGCATCTTTCTTTCTTAAACTCCTGCAGTTTCTCTGAGCAGTTACAGAGTTACACCGAGAAGAAAGACTGAAGAAAAAAAGGGAGAGAAAAATCCCTGGGCAGAAGTGATGGAGTCGCAGGGGCCAAAGCCATTTCCTACTGAAAATAAAGTTCTAAAACAGCCCGGTGTGGACAACACGCACAGGTCACTTCAGGGAGCTCAGGTCCGCTGCGGGCTGAGGACAGTTCTGGAACCGGCCTCGCTACTGGGCGAACTTATTAGGCACACGAGATAAGCCTTATCACAGGTCTACGGAGAGAGGACAGTGGGGGCAGACGGGCTCCTCTCAATTTATCTCTTTCATTTTTTACTCTTCCTCTCACTCTCTCTCTCTCTCCTACACACACACACACACGCAGACACACACACACACATATCTAGTGTTATCTTGCTTAATAGACAAACCACATTCTGATGGCCGATGTTTAAACAGTCGCTGCACACTCTATTTCACTGCCCTCTCTGGCATTTGGGAAGATGAAACAGAGCAGTGTTTGGCAGTCAGCCCACAGGGACAGAGGGAAGTGGTCGGGTTAACAGATTAATAGGAGATGCTGCAGGGGAGAGAAGAAGAAAAGACTCCAGAGCCCCGTGTACACTGGTTACTTGTTGTGTTCTATAGTAGTTGGTTATGGTTCTATGGTGCAGCAGTTATCACATCTGCCTTACATGCAGAAGGTCCTGGGTTCAAGTCCCAGAGGAACCGTGTACTTAATAATGTAAGTCATTTCAAAAGGGAAATGCAGCCAAATGAAAAAGAAACCAAAAAGCTGCTGTGATGCACCAGAAATGTTATTCACATTTGCCTTATGATGCATAAGGGTTTGTTTAAAATCATACTTATACTTATATTAATTTATTTATTAATTTTATGGCCTCAGCAAAAAAAAAACAAAAACAAACAAAAAATAATATTCACCACCTAGACAAAAAAAGTTGACATAAAACCTAAAGCTTTGTTAGCAATATGTAAAAAAAAAGTATAAATATGGAAAGTGTTTAAATCAATTTTCTCAGGAGGCACCCTTGTCAATACTAACACAGCTTGACTTGTGTTCTCCTAGTTCCCTAACAAATAAAAATATGAGACAGAAACGTTGCCACAAATTTGCAAAAAAAGTTCAGAAAAAAAAACAAATCGCAGAATTTTTAAAATCCAAACTTGGCTGAAGCCTGATATTCTGTACTTCCATCTAATCTTTACTTTGTCAAATTAATATAATTTCAATATAAATTAAGATATTAATACATGCTCTATTTCTACGTTACTTCAGATCAAAACAAAACACTATAACGTGAAGAAAATGGAGACTCTAAATACAGTTAATATTATATTCAGTTTTTACATGAAATAAGTAGAGCCCTGGACCCTGAGGATTAGGATTTAGCTGTTCACTAGTTCATCTTTGTGTTCAACCACTTTTCACTATTCTGTTCACAATACGGTGTGTATTTTGTATGTGTTTCAGGGTTTTATTTATTTATTTATTTATTTATTTATTTATTTATTTATTTATTTATTTATTTATTTATTTATTTATTTATTTATTTATTTATTTATTTATTTATTTATTTATTTTATTTATTTTGAAATGCAAGAACTGCATTGTGGCTCGGTGGAGTTTCCAGGTTCTCCCCCATTTATTTTCAGTTTTCTCAGGATTCTCAGGTTTCCTCCCATTGTCCACCAACCTGTGAGGTTAGAGGTCAGGGGTCATTTCAGTCTCTTCATTAACGAGAGGTTTGAATGCGAGTGTAATGATAGTTGCAACTGTTGTTGCTACTTGTTTTTTTCTAAATGTTGCTATGCTATCGCCAGATTACAGCTGAGATTAGCGTCAACCCCAACATTTCGTCATGTAAGACGATTGAATGAATAAATGCATAATTGAAGAGTGTATTCAAATGTACTTGTGGTTACGTAAAACCACAACTTGAATGTAACAAAGCCTCTTTTTGTTCGTCCCTGTGTGACAGTCAACTGGACACAGTTTGATCTGCTGATTTAAAAAAAAATCCATTGTTTGTCACACTGTTCCACCCTGGACACTAGGGGAGGCTGGTAATGGCTGTATTTATGAAAGGCAATAATGTGACAGGTCAGCAAGTTGCCAACAACTGACATCTATTGGCGTCACACAGTGTATTGAGAAGTGAATGGTTTAAATGATGTGGCCACCTGCATCCAGGACACATTTATTTATTTTGTTGTGCTCGGTGTGTGTGTGTGTGAGAGAGAGAATAACTGCTAATTCAGCAAACTGTGAGGGAGATCGATTCCTGGATCCTGTCCTGATTTACCCATTGTGAACGGGGTGCATGGACCCAGAGTGAGCAGTGTAGTCAGGGCTGTCGTAGAATGATTAATAAACGCCACATACCTGCTCCGGTAGAAAACTGCCTTTTTTTTTTTTTCACCCGCAGCTACAAAAGGTTCCTAAAGATTCCAGGCCTTAAAATTTCCCAGAATAGTGTGGGAACAGGTTTCCAGACTGCATTTATGAGGCATTAGGTGAGGACAGGTTTGAGGATAGCTGCTATGATAGAGCCTTTATAATACCTCGGGGGTATTTCATCATGTACACTTTGAAGTGGAGAATGACAAACTGGAAGGGGGCTCCAGCTGCACCGGGAGTTAGGTTTGCTGCTTTCACTCCGAGAGGATTAGCTTCTGTTTCTCAGCTCAGAAAATGACAAGTCTGCCTCTTATTTCCTCCCCAGTGCATTAGAATTAAAGTATTTTTATAGTGGAGTTGGGGCCAGCGGTCAGTGGTGCTGCGTTTGTCGTGTACTGTTATAGTGCAATCACACTTCCCTTGTTTACTGAACTAGTCCGGGCCTTTGGGGGGCGCGGGGGGGGGGCGTGCGTGTTGCGCATGTCCCCCTCGCTCGCCTCGTCATCCATCATCCCTGCTGTTGCGGTGATAAGAGCAGGAACTGTGCATTCCCTGAGCCACATGACAGCGTGCACTGAAAATGAGCTTGTTGAACAGCATCTCTGGCAGCAGCTAACACACACGCCGTGATCACGACCGCATTCAGTCTGCGGGGAGACTGATTTACGTCCGTAATGACTCGAAGCTCTTATAGCCCAGATGAAGGTGCAGTGTGAAGGCTTTCTGCAACGCTTTGATATGAAATATGAAACCAACAGAAGCAGGAGAAAGAGGTGTGCTTCGCCTGTATTAAGTTATACCCCCCCCCCCCCCCCCCCCACCGACTGTTTATAATCATTTTAAAAACAAATTAACATCTTATGAATACCTCGACCTCCGGCATTCTTGAAGGTTCCTAAGGGACAGTCATGCCACAGTGGAGCCAAACAATGTTCCAAGTTCCCTTCCTGTTCTGCTGCTAAGTCTACTGGCAAAGCTGGAAAACGGTTGCTGGAGTCTGTTTAAAGTAGTTGTGGATTAGTCAAGAGTAGTCACGATTTATTACGATTAATCACAATTAATCATGATTAATCAACATTCCTTAATATGACAACTTTTTGGTATGTTATGAAATTAATGGATATATGTAACAGGTGTGACACATGTTTGTCATTGTTCTCACAGAAGAATGAAATTTGAGGTGCTTTGGTGAAACTACCACTTTTTCCCCACAGCATGTGCAAATAACGATATATGTTTCGACTGTGTATTAGAGCAAATAATAATTACCTTCATACAGCAACGTCTTTCTGCAGGTGTTAAAAATGTCATTTAATGACTGTTACTAATGGCAGTTAATGCATTAATTTTGACAGCGTGCTGCATATAGAAATTGAATCTGAAGTTTTCTGCTGAGTATCAGCGGCAAACAAATCACAATGATGGCCAGCGTTAGTGACTGCTGTACTATGATGCTTGATTTGGCCGCTCTTGCTTTATTGTCATTCACACAAATGATTTTTAAAAATGCACCAGAAGCCAAACAGCTCTATTTCACCCTGAATCGTCAGGTTCTCTGTCTCCTTTAAATATAAACCCACAATTCAAACCTGTGCATTTACCCCAGGTTTCAGGACAGTGTGTGGTTCACAGTGCATGGGTGGCAGTTTGGATACTGTAGGCATCAAACTGCTGCTCCTGAGGCATGAAGCGGAACGGCCACGATTCATGCAGACTCAGTAGCTGCCGTCGGTGTTATTAAATGCATCAACACAAACCCATTTCCTGTGACACTGCTCTTGTTTTCAAAGCAGCAGTGTTTTGTTCTTTACTTCCTCATCAGTTTGTTGACAGCTGCAGTTACTGCTGCTCCGTGTCTGGAGTTCAAAAGGGGACATGAGCTGAGTACCAGCGTGTAGGAGGAAGTGTCAATCTAATTACAAATGTGGAGCCGGACATCAAAAGAGTAGTCAGTGGAGGTGACGCTGCTCAGACCTCTGGGCCATCACGGCTCTGCTCAGCACCAGGGACACCAAACATGTCACTGTCATTAACACACAAGCACTTGGGATCAAAGAGGGCAGGGCTGAGGAGCCGCAGCTGGACTCAAACCTGGAATGGACAGGGGCCCGGGGTGACATTCAATTAAGATTCACTGAAGTCAAATCTGAAAAAATAAGAAGAAAAAAATACTTCCTTGATATTCCATCAGTTTATTGTTGGATTTTACTCTAAAGAAATACAACAGATTTCTAGAATAAGGAAACTTTTTTTTTATGTTGAACCTCAGCATAAATTAAAAAATGAGAGTATAATATTTTTGTGTGTTAAAGAAAGCTAATGAATCTATGATATGGTAAATACGTTTCTCTTGTTTCCCCTCTGCAGACACAAACCACGCCGTCTTTGTGGATCTGTACTTCTAAAAGCCCCACTTGTCAAAAATAACATTTCACTTGCGGTGGAGAGTAACTTAAACTTGAAAGCACCAACAGTCAACTGCCTACACTCTCATTTGTGATAAATAGAAGTCCTTTGTCAGCAGTGAACACTGATGCAGGAAGCACAGTGGCAGAAATATAGATGTGGTGAATGGCCGCCCTGGCTGTAAATCCTAACTTCTGTGCAGTTACTTTCTGTTAGTCTGAAGGTGTCTTTGACGTGTTTTTAAGCACCTGTAGAAGAAAAAGAAAAGTGTTAAGAGCTCATCGGACATGTTTTATTCCCAGATTTGTATTCATGTTATGCATTAAGCAGAGTTTGTTCTGAAGTGTTTTCCTAGTAGATGAAGTTGCTATCCACATGAGAGAGTGGAGGAGCTACATTATGAATGGCTGCATCGCTTGCCAATAGAACAGACTCTCTTTGGCAAGAGTGCAATAGAAAGCCTAGTGTTGGCCAAGACATGAATAATGGATATGTTGCCACATCGGGCTGCAAAGTTGCTGCTTTGTGTGTGTGTGTGTGTGTGTCCCTGAAGGAGGTGTAAAGTGTGTTAAAATAAATGGTTCATATACTAAAAAGAGCAATAGCATCAGCATTTATAAACCATCATTACTTCCAGTGTACTTTGTTTTATGTTCAAACAGATTTGGGGATTTTAATTTAAGTTTCAATGAAAGAATGAGCTGGCAGCCAATCAGAACACAGAGTCACATACTCACCTAGATATTTTAGCTAAGTTCAACCATTATAAAGTTTGTTCTTTTGGTTACATATTTTATATTGATTCGATTTTTACTGCTTTCAGGGACGGCAGACATCACACTTGCAAAAGTATCCCCTGCCATTAGAGGTCAGTGTGGTGCCCTAATTGGGAACGGCATTATCA